AGTCGAAGAAGCTGAGGAATTGGGTGCATGATTCGTGAAACCCTCGTGAAAAGTTTACGCCATGCATCCGCCTTCCATTAAGAATGGTAGTTGCGCATAATTTGTCATCTATTTATTGGAAGGCTCAACTTCTTACCGGGTGTGGTGCGTTAGGAATGAAATGGTCGCGTCGCGGTAAGAGGGGCGTCGCCGGAATGTAGCCGGATGCAGCAGTGGGTAAGAAATACAAGAACAAAAGTACTAATAGTAGAATTATGCATAAAATAATGATCGCATATCGATTGAGCTGTATGAAGAACGCTAGAGCTGTAATAACGGCGAAAATGTGGTCCGCGACAGCCGCGTGCGGCGAATCGATTACCCAAAATCGTTCCTAACGCCCGTCTCAGAGCAAAACTTAGAACAAATTTGTTCACAGAATTCTGTATTTCTTGTCAATTATAAAAGGAACAAAGAAACTGTTGAGGAGGTGTTTATGACTCAAAGGGGAATTCCGGATTTGCCTTCATTTCATACTCCTTTTCAAGCAGTAGTAGGAAACCGATTAGTTTTCTAGGTTACGTTTATAAGTTGTTGGTGCATGTTGTTTACGGACAGCCACCTTCCACTTACGCCAGCCGACAAAAGAAAATAAAATGTGTGGTATTTCTGATAAGAGTCCCATTGCCTGCCGTACCAAGATAAGAAGAAGATGCCTGCAATCGTGACAGGACCTCCGGACAATGCTCTTTACGGGAAAGACAAAAGACTGATTAGATCGACACTTTGAGTAGTTAGGCTTTCTTCATGCCCCTCCGTTTCTTTTGTTTATTTTTTTTATGACAAAACCAACTCCGTCGTAATGAAGGAGTACCCCAATCCAGCTCACCTATTTGAGTCCTTCTACGTATTCCACTCACCTATCCTAATTAATTGACAAGTGTGGATCAGATTTGAGGGAACTCAACTGATAGGTATAATTTATAATTCTATGAAGTACTTTATGCAGTCACCCAGGTCCTCGGTCTCCCCGAACGTGAAGGAAGACTGTGTATTCGGCAGATTGGATAAGGTTTCATCTTGACGCCTTTGAACGGTATGGGAATTCTCGAGTTACTTCGAGTGCAAATTTCGTGAATTTTGAATTGGTTATGTGAGTTTGGTAACCAGGGATTTGGATGGTCGATAATTTCACATATACCGCTGAAACTTTGGGTGTCTATCCGATTTGTCTCCCTTCTATGTTCCCTCTCGCTTCTGAATCACACTGACAATGAGGCCCATTCTTAGAGAACCTCAAGCTGAAACTCCAAAAAGTGCTATTTCTCCGTAAACCAAGCGCAAAAATTTATAGCTTCGCTTTACAAGTTTCACTTGTATTCGTTCTTGAACCGTTCCTTCGAAGCATCGGTGTTTTACTATATTCCAAGTGTGATATAAAGAGAACAAATGAGATTTGTTGACACGTAGCGAAGGGCTACAACTCTTGTGACAACTTACAACTCCTCAAAATTTGAAGGTGAGGCCCAATAGATCTCAAGTAGTAAGCGCAAGTGAGCCACCTTGTGCATACCCCTCAAGTCCTTGGGGGCCCTGAATGCAGCTGATACGTGTATTAAGCAGGTTGGATTTGATTTTCGAAATAATTTCATGTTGACTCTCTCCAGGATGTGAAAATTTTACATTCGCCTAAATAGGTGCTCATCAAATCTAGGAAACCTATTTTCAGGAGATGGCCTGCGGTCCGATATGTATGTCGTTTCTGATATTCATAAGCCTTTGGGGTATTATATTCCTGGTATGTCAACTACTCCGAGCTTTAATTCTCCAAAACTATTTGCTCGTTTTCTTCCTTGAATCCAAATAGAGGAGCCTTTTACAGGGAATCCTTGGCGGGTTGTACTACAATCAGTCAGTGGGTCTTTTTGAAAACATGCCCAAAGAGGACTTATCTAAATGTCTCATCACTGATTGGAATTGTCGTCAGAAGGAACTTGTGAAGTGAGTTCTGTGTTCAGCCTTTTCTGAGTAGAATCGTGATCATTTCTTTTTCTAAGTCTTTGTTAATCTGAACGGTTCATCGTCTATAGGGTGGCTTGAATGATGAACTTTCCTTCAAAAAAGTTTTTATGGGTGCTACATTGAGGGTTTGTTAGGTGCCGATCAGGTTTTTGATATCTAAAGGGCCGATTAATAGGTTGCAGACTTTTCTGAAATGAGAAAATTGCAAAATTCGAAAATCTAAAGTTTCCTACGATTTTTAATTGATCATAGAGCAGACGTACATTGGAAGGAAAATCTGTCGTTTATCATTCGGCTATTTTCAGCTACTTACCAATTAGATATTTGATTAAGCAATTTTTGAAAAAAAAAATGCTTGTTTTAGTATCTACCAACAAAATGCCTACAACTGTTGGGTGGCTGCTGCGGGTTATGTAGGCGTCGCCATACTGGCTGGTCTACGGCTGTGCTGTCTTCGACTTTGTAGGTGATTCTATGTGGACGGACGAAAGACAACCAATCGGGCCGGCTAGATATTTGTGGTCGACAGATGGATTTCGTCTACGGCGGTTCATAGTCTAGTTCAGATGTGTTGATATATAGGTATGGCATAAAAGATCGAATATCGAGCATTTCCATCCAAAACCCACAACTCTTTTCCTATATATTTCTTATGTATTCCTAGAAATTTGTACAGGCACATTTGGTATGAAAAGTCGTTTTGCTAAATTGATGACCATCCTCGTAGGAGTTATTCAATATTACTACCCAGAACGTTATGTGTTTGGCTGATGTTTACTTTGTTTACTGATAAATCTTCACCGATCAGCAAAGGTAACTCGATAAGTATCTACCAATTGGCAGCGTGAGAACCGTTCGGCGCGCGTTTGGCTGAAACTATGGCTTACAGTGATTCGTTTATTTTATTTATTTTATTTTATTTACAAGAATAGATTTACTCACGGTTTTAACTCAGTTTGACGTTTCCCAACCTCTCTTTACCCTCCCTCCAATCCTTAACCCGAACCCACGATTACCCATATCATTTGTTTTCAAAGGACTGGTTCTGATAGCTGACTGTCGAAGTACAATACCATTAGGATTTCAGGGTTGATCAGTTGAAGAGCTGAGCTCTATATAGCACCTGTATCACCTATCGTCCCATTAATTATCGATTCGCTCCAATGGGTGCCAGAAACGTCTCCAACCGTCCCTGACAAACTCTGATCAATCGATTTACTCGATTATTCAACAACCTTCCGCTCATAATTTAGCATTAATTTATTATATTACTATTTCATTATGTACTACCTAATAAGTACCACATAGATAGGTCGGGAACCTATAATCCGAAATCCGAGTGTAAGCTATCAAGAGATTCTACCTCAGTATCAGTAACTTTGTAACTTGTGCTATTTTTCATAAACTCTATTTTAGCCTGAAGTTTTCTACTAACGCTGTAAACCATGACCCGTTAACATCCCGGATCACAAGGTTGGAAACCCTGAACTCGTGAGGAGACCTGGGCATGATTTGAATATTTTCGTGATGAAAAGCCTATCCCTCAACAAAGGAATCGACATTTGCTACTGCAAAAATGCTAAAATGCATCAATTTGCTTCAGTTATTGCCCTGCTCCCGCCTTCGTTTCGAACGAGACGATTCGTAAAGACCAGACCGACCTCAGTGTTCAATGCTTCGCATAGTTGAGGTCGTGTTGTAGCCGACTTTTACAGGCTTTTTACAATTCGTTCTGTTCTGCACCATATTTCCTCTCATCGAGCTTTTTTTCATTTATTCCTTTCTTTCTATGCCTGATATTTTGCTTTTTTATTCATGGATTAGAGCGTTACTTATGATTATTTATTTTGTAATGCGTCGGTAGATGAAAAGTAGTCGATCCGGGAGGAAGGCAGTAGATCGAACCACCACATAGCCTGCAATCAACTTAACGTTTATCATCTATTCTTGCAATAGCAGCTGTAAAGCGAAACGAACATCCCGTCTGTTGAGTGGCACCATGACAGCAGGCCCGACCAACTTGAGGGATTGCAGTCGAGATTGCGAGCCTGTGTTTCCCACAGAAACGTTCAACGAATGTCATGAAAAAATCTCACCAATTACCTACAATTTAACAAAACTGGTATTCACAGTAGCTATAGGAATGTATACGTCCGAGCGATCACCTCTCAATCGAAAGCTCAACGACAGGCTTTGTCGGCATCGTTTGAAGTTCACGTGTGTGCGCCATGCATCTGTTTCACATTTAGAACCGACAGTCCATTTTGAAGGGTATATAGCCATAACAGCGGCTCGAGGAGGACAATCCTCATTCGGTTCATTGACAAGTTCTGTGCCAATCGCCCTGCAACTCGGACGTGGTGTACTGTACTGTTGGGTACGGTATGAACTAGCTATGCTTTTTGCCTGTAGGCAGCTGCTACTGCTTCCCTGTGATTCTATTTATCATGGATGATAATGTGATGCAATAGCTGGAGTAACTGAAACATCAATTCTCGCTGGAATTATCCGATTAACTACCACCTCATGCTGGAACCATCTACGTGACCGTCTGAAGATTGAGCCGAGAGAGGATGAAGGGAAATAATGGAAGCACGTTCGAGGAGGTGAAGCGATTCTAGCAGACTGATTACATTTCAAGCAACAACACAACCTGAAAGTGTCAGCGCTGCTTGAGCATTGCTTTGATGAACAGTTTCTGGTCTTTCGGTTGAATCGGAAGCGAAATGAGTACGTCTCTACTATCTATGAGCGAAATGAGCAAAGCATCATAGGGGATAAGAAGGGCTGGAGTGCCCTACGCTTTCTTCTGCTGTAGTTCAGTATTCCCAACTTTCCAGCCACTACAGATTCGGCTATACTGTGCCAAGTTAAAAAAGGACCTTTGAAATAATACTACCGAAACAGAGCTCGAGTCTTTGAGCCATTTTACTACGATTCCGATTAGGCCACAATATGCGATAACTCAAAAAACAGCTGAACTACTCTGAAAAAAGTCTATTTGTTCATTTATCGGTACGTGAGTTTTTTGTACTTACCTTCCACTATTTAATGGAAAAAAGTAAACAACTGGACGGCTTCATTACAACATGCACATTCCGCAGATAAGATTCCGAGTTGAACGTGAGGTTGCACCTCGCTCAACCTCACGTTCCATCCGTCAGAGGCCGTGTCTCTACTGGCAGACTCTGGGGAGATACGTACCCCTGAGTTGACTGACACGAACATCACTTGTTGCTCACAGAGTCTGAAGACTATTCGGACATCACAAGACTTACAATTTGATTTGATGCATGGCGCACTCCAAAATTCTTCAGGATGTTCATCTTCCCTATCTACACAACTCACCAGGATGTGTGGTCCTCAAGCGCTAGCATGTACCGGTTGACCGTACAGATTTGGATGTGGCTCATAGCCGACCTTTCTAACGATTTGAAGAATGGGCAGGAAATCTTGCACATCCACTGTTAATGAGTGACCCTTAACCCATACTCTCGGTGAAGAGCTCTAGCTGACATAACTGGTTTAACGGCTTCAACCTTTTGGCTATTCACCTTTCGTCTGAAGTCGTGCCTTATTAAGTTACACTTAGCAGAGGAAGTATGAACTCCCGGAACCCATATGCCTTCATTCACATATGTACCAATTAAACCATTCGAACAAGCTCTGAGCCAGGGGGATGGAGCGTGCAGGAAGTAAAAGGATCTCAGCTGAGGAGACACAATCTTTCGTGCTTTTCTGCTAAAAGGTAGCTGTACAACACGCAAGACGCTCTCATTAGTGGTTTTCTGGCTGGCGGTTTTCATTCTTCAGCTTTACGAGTGTCTAAGCATGATCCAAGTGCATGAGAGGGGGCGACCTTCCGTGAGCTTTACCAGTTCCTGCAGATTCCTTTGGTGCAAAAGTGCATGTGTACTGTCTGGATTTGCCCCACTCGATTTCTACCTGCAGAATCTAGACGTAGGTCTTGGGATACCTACATTTATCAGATGGTATCACTAGAAGCGAACTAGATTTAAGCGGAACAGCTGCTAAGGTTTTTCTGGGTAGTTCTTCTCGAAGATGAGTACCAACTTGTCAAAAAGCACTTAGTTGAATTACAATGTATCAGTATCGATTCAAGAGAAATTCAGGAAAAGATGAATTCAGAGATTGAGAGAAAAGCTCGTGTTTTCGTCGTTGAAACACAGCATCATTTGTGTAAGTGGCCAATGGGTCGATCCGCACCACGCTCAGCCGTTGACCAAAGCATATCCCATGAGAGACCATGGATGAATTTTGTTCAAAGGAATCGTTTCATTTCTTTCCGCTCATTGCCAGCATAACATTCCTGTGTTCACAATGTTCATCTCATCTCTGCTCGTCGTCCTCCATCGTCGAACATATGGCTTCGGATAGCTGATGCTTTCGAGTTTTGATTTTTCGAAACAATTGTCGATCGACAACGGATATGATTATGAAGCTCTTCAATATTTATTACTTAACTCTCCCCCTTTTGTTTAATGACTGTTTTAGGTTTCGAGTAAATTACGATAGTGTCAGTTTTTTGTCTGTCAGCGCCTTGTTTAACAGACTCATTGTAAAATGCTGGTTTTTAGACTTACACAGCCAAAAATTGCTCAGTGCCCTCTTCCCTACTGTTGTCAGACATCGTGTACTCGATCACGATGTTTCTCCGTCTATCATCCTTTGAAAAACTTCTATTCCTGATTTCGAAGTAGTAGTAGGTAATCCTATTCGAAGGTTTCATTTATTACGGCTATGCTGTTCCGACAAATCTGATCGATTATCGACTTCTTTGCTTTGGTCAATTATCGATTTCTTGATTTTCGCGGTATCAGAGAAGCTCTCAGTATTTCAGTCGATCACCGATTTCTTTTGTCAGTGGTTTGCCTTGTTCATTCACCGATCAATTATCGATTGTGTTGCAATGTACTGGCTTTTTATTGCTCAATCAATTATTGATTTTTCGCCGTAATCAAATAATGATTCCTTCACCAATTATTTATGGTGAAATCATCCGATTATTTTTTTGGCGTTTTATTAATTTCGATTTATCCATATTTACAGTCGTGGACGATAGGAATGGGAGAAGTGTTGGTGGGTGGAGTGTGGGTACCATCCGCAATTGCTCAACACTTCAAAGACGAAGGACACGCCCCATTCTCGTACACGAAGCCAAACTTGAAATTCCAACCCCGTGAAGTAAAACTCAATATAAAAACATTCCAACCACATAGAGAACAAATTTTTGTCGAAGATTATAAGCGACGTCTGTTGAAAATCGCTATATCAAAGGTAGGTTAATATTTATGCGATTGTGATCAATAATTGCTCAGTTCCGATTTTCGACTTCCGATTCTTGAAAAGTTGAAATTCCATCCCTAGTGCACCACCTTTCTAAGTGCTACAAAATCAAACTTATACGCATTTTATGTACGCATGGGAAGGATTAGACTATGAAACTGAAGGGTTTCTGCAATATTTCCCGATTTGTTCTAAGGTAGTTTCCAAAAACCGGTGACTCGACTATTCCTGAAGGCGTTCTGGCTTTTCTGAAGCTATTCCATGCTGGCATTTGCCAACCATCTGACACACGCTCACACAGGCACTCCAACTGATGTATTAATCGCTCTGTATGGTTGCCCGGGAATTCTCAGACAACTATCTTTACATATTCGACCCGGAATGCCCATTAATGAGTGGCCAGCTCGGTTAACGACATTTCCTTACCGACTGATAACCTGCGTACGTTCGGATAATGGGGCGATTCGTGATGGTTGGGAATTTGCTTGGGAGAAAGGGCGAATGTAAAGGGACTTTGAAGAACAACAAAAAAAACTGAGGGTCAGTTGTTGGAGGAACCCCACCCACGCAATCGATGTTGGAGCCTAGCGAATGTTCAATGTGAAAAGAAAAAGCATACTTTGGTTTTACACCCACATCGTTTGCACAGATGTGTTACATGAAATAATATCTGGAGTAATTCCAAGCAGATGTCAAACCATCACGACTTGAAAGTCTATGCGAAAAGACGTTCAACTAAGGTAGATGTGCTCAGGGAATGTTTGTTTACTGACGAGGTGAAATGAGATAGCTGGCCCCTTCCCTCACTAAACACAAGTTCCTTGAGACGAGAACAGAGGGTAGTCCCGAACAGGTCCATCACTGCTGGTAAGTTGGCTTTTTTGGAAGCCACCTCCCTTTCACTGGTAGTATCTGTGAAGTAAACGAGGTCAAGTTTGGAGCTTAGCTCAGTGTCTGGTCTCTTGCATGAACTACACAATCCGTATAATCTCATAGCCATTAAAATAGTTTTGGCAATAGGATTGGGGTTCCATGGTTGTTGGGGTACTCTATGCTGANGATGTTTTAGCCTCCTTTTCCCACGTCATTCCACTCCAGTTCACTGAAACTCCCCATGTATTTCTATTTATTCAAATAGCCTCTATAAAGTAGCGTGTGCCATTGAGGTATTCGACGCTTCCATTCTTTCTATGCTATGGGTAAGAAATATCAATCAATCAATATCAATCAAACTGAAAATGGCCTTTAAAACTTATTGTTCAATTACACTCCCCATGTATACATTGGATTGTCACTACAGTCCTGGGTGGGTGAAAATCACAGATCTAGGAAAGCCCTGAGAGTAGTGATAAGCCAGGACCCTCAATTTCTATGGCTCTACTGGTTTAGGTTGCCCCTGCAAAAAGGTAAATATGTGATAAACAAAAGTTATGTTGCTCAGCAAACGGTTATCGCTTTCCGATGTAACCAGCTGTCGGTGGCCAGTCTAGAAGAGACTTTTGTGCAGTTCATTCTATGCAGTATGGATTTAATCGGGCCCATGTCCTCCTAATGTAAAATTTTTTAGTTAGACGACGATCGAGGTCATAGGCGCAGGCCGTTAAGAAGGTACAGCGACGTGCAGCAAGTCGCAACCCGTCCAGCCGCTTTCGTTTACCCGGTTGGTACTTTTACTACTCCTATCGGATAATGGGAAGCCTATGAAATATGTTCATTGCTCGAGATCTGCCCCTTCTATCGCTCCGTTGGAACCGAGATTCTGTTCACCTAGTGGGACTCTAATCTAACTGGGACCCTTCAGCTTTTAGAGATAGTTAGCAATAATCTTGACCCGATTTCTCGACAGGCTTTGTCTGCGGCGACCTGTCGTAGTTTCAGTTTCAACTGACCGTGGTGGCGCATCCTGACCCATGCGTCACAGGTCTGGTAGGGCGATGTGTTGATCATTTTGTTTTCGTGTTGATGATGTTTTTTATTGACAAATATTCGTTTAAGGACAGACGCGGTCACATGTACAAACCTTTGAGAAGGTACAACAGCGAGCTAGAATCGCTTTCAACTCGTCCAACTACTTTCATTGTACCGGCTCGTGTTTTTCATCTTTGTATTTGTTGCCACGAAACAACTCTACGGTCGTACTATTGAAATTTTCAGGAGAGCGGCATACGAGGTTCTACGCGCAGACCCGTACGACGGTTCAGCGAGATGCAACAAGTCGTAGCTCGCCCGTCTGCCATAGTTATCCCGGTTTGTTCTACTCTTTTCCTGAGATACCGAGGTGCAAGAGTTGTAGAATTGTGGGATGTCGGTATCACAGGTTCAAGAATGCCCACACTATACCCCCACCCTCTTCCTCCCCCTTCCCCACTTTTGAATAATGGTCTCGTGGCGATAAACTGTATAGACCCTAATCAGCAGTTCAAACTCACATCTGACCCATACAATGGGCGCTCCAATCGCGTGTACTGGATTCCCATACCAACGTGAAGCTCATATTCTCGAATTTTTTTGAATCTACAGGAGCACTACCGAGGAGAATGGTAAGACTGAATTCTGCATAGAGGTCCGTTGGTGATTATACAGACGGTATACTCATTTGAAAGCTAGTAAAAGTTCGGATAAAGTTCTGATAGCTGACGAATCGGGAAGCGAGGTGGTTGATGTCAGTCATTTCATCCTAATTTACTTTCTTTTCACGCCTCTTCAGGCTATTCCATAGTTGTTCATTCTAAAAATTGCACTCATACATAATATGATTCCCATATCAACCAGTGAACCAAATTGTTAGACTCCGCTATAACGACGGCGTGGGTCAAAAGTCACCATCGCACAAGAAACTAGGCCACCGCACGCGGTGAGCATTGCGTCCACAGACAGTATTGTGCTACAGTTTCTTTGCATTTGCCTTCGACTTTTATATTAATTCGGAATATTTTTTGAGAGATCTGTTGACTGCCAGGCATTTGCAAACTTCGGACCTCTAGACTTTGAGATAATTAGTTCAAGACGCGCCGCGTACCTGAATCCTTCTCGAAATCGTCAGGTGTCTCTACCTTCAACTGTGTTTTGAGTTGGATGTTTCTCCATTCTAGTTTACATTACCTATTTATTATCGATTCTTACTTGCCCTCTCATTCATTTTATGTAAGAAAATACAGAAAAGAAAGGGAAAGGCTGTCAGATTTACACTCTGGAAAGTTGAATAGATGGTTTGTGTCGGATGGCTGTCCATTTTGTACAACCGCCTTAGTTTAAAACTATATTGGCTCCAGTTTGTCGAAGCAGAATGGTGTGAAGCGATAGGTGCGACATTGGCCGTACACCTGGTTGGCAGCCAAGCTCATCTCACTTGTTGTAGTTTGTCCAACCTCAACTTCATGAAACTTAAAAGTACCTCGAAAATCACATCGAATCTTAAGTTGTAATGTCATTGTTTGGATACACTGCACCTTTCAAGTATGAGAATGAAATATAATGCATGGCGCATTCCACAAAATCAACGACTGGTAATTCCGTTTTTTTCAAGCTTCAATGAGACATTCTTCATTGACTACGCTACAGTAACCTCAGATATTCATCGAATGTTTTTGTTTGGATTTCTGGCTAAATTCCGATCATATTTCATGTCGATAGATCCATTTGGACCCCTTCAAACTGGTAATGTCACAGCTGTTCGTAATGAATGTTTGTTATTGCTATAGCTATAGCTTCAGGGGGTTTCCCATCACATGAACGTAATGCAGCTGTTTCTGACGCCTTAACTACTTGAGGTTTTTATGCTAATCGCAACGAGCGCCATTTCCTTTTTTTTCTGAATATTTTCACGACAACAACTCCTAAATCTTCCCTGAATCGTGGGGTTACGGTAACAAATAATAAGCTTCATTGTGTTTCTAATCAATCACTAATTGGTTCAGTAGGTAACTAATCTATGAACTTGCTCAATGANGTTCTAATTTTTACATTCTCGAAGTTTTTCAGTGGATCTGCCCTTGAATAGAGGTTTTCAGTGTTTATGTATGTTTACACCCAATTATTTATTTGTTTATATATTTTTTTCACTATGCTTGTCTCTTCAGGTTGTCTTGTGCCGTAGTCAGCTTCACCATCAAAGTTCTTCAGTACTTTGAGTGAAGCTGTTCAAGTCGCTAATTTATTTATTTGTTTACTTATTTACTTACTTGATTGGTTACCTACCCTACTTATAATGCTTGTCATTTGAGTGGTGGGTGAAAGTTGTCACAGCGCTGATGGGTTCAGCCCGATCCCACTCCACGTGTAGCTCCCGATAAACCTCAACATTTTTCTGTAATAACTTTAAAACAGTCCCACACGAGATCAACAAATACTTTGATGGCTAAATTTTTGAAAAAGTCCGACCTCCCAGAAGCTTGAGAAGATGGAATCACCCAGGAGATACATTAACAATTATATTAACATCCTACAGGAGCCTCTCAGTAATTGATCACCACATAATCCTGGACAGGAGCAAATGCTGGACCTACCTGCTTGCCAGAATGAACCCTCGTGGGTGATAGGATGGACCGACTATTTATTTTCATTGAGGTAGACTTGTAGCTGTTGATGATAGAATGTTAGCTCCTTTCCCACTTCCTACCACATCCACCCACCTGTTCGTGAGTTGCCCCGCTTCCCCGTTATCGAATGATTGCACTCCACCCACCTTCGAATATCTTCGAATATTGATCTTTGCCAGCAGCCTACTGGTATTTGATCCGCATGGCATAAACATTTCGAGGCGTGAACGATTTAAATCAGGCGTTTTCTTGCTCGTTGATGAATTGACTGCCAGAGGGCTCAAATGCCTGTTCAACTCTGAGCTGAGATAAAGCCGTCTTCTTACCCACCTGAAGCAAACATCTTTGTCCTCCAGGCCTACACCCGAGTATCAAGGAACTCACATTCCTTCAGCTACATTTAAAATGGTAGGTTCGCCTTTTGTTGAGTAGCGATTGGGTGCATCCCACTTTTTAAGATCGTAAGCAACTCTTATGTAATCGATTGCTTTTCAAGGATGCGCCATGCGCGCAACTCAGCTGCCGATACCAAAAAGGTCGCTGACCTGCCTTTTATGGCTTTGCTGGGCCATTCAGAAGGCGCCATGGATGTAATCATTTCCATGGACGTTCGTAATGATTATCCCAACTATCCAGAAGTAATTTTTCATCATGATAGAAGAAAAGTTTGTGTTGGACACTGCCAAGTGGCAGGCGCTCGGTTTTTACATCATGCCGCTAGACGCATTCCGCGTCCCTCACGGTGGCTAAATGACTACGGCCGCCTCAAGACAACCATTTCTTCAACAGCACGGCCTACTTACCCGCTACTTTTTAAGCCATCTACTCATTTCTGAGACTTCAACGAAAGCTCTTTCGCGAAAGCTAAGAGCTTTCTAGAAAACTTCGCCATTTTTCTTCTCTTTCTCTTCAAATCAGACTTCAACGCCTGGTTTCCTCCAAATCTCCAATTTATATTTTCTAATTTATTCATTCTTTTCAGGACCCATATCTGGTGACGAAGGGAGGAATGGCACAGCCGGTACATTTACAGTACAATTCGCCGATGCCCATATATTCAAAGTGAGTCCGCCATCATTTTCTGGAATGCCTTTCTGGAATTATTCTTGAGTAATTCACACAATTTCTTGTCTTTTATTAATTCGTCAGTATAAATAGATATAATGGCTACCGTATGCTCGAGTATGAAAAGCAGGATCACAGGTTCTTTCTGCAGCTATACTTCTCTACTGAGGCATTTTTTTGTTTGGCTGTTTGCTGTTTCCTAATCTCTCGCTTCTCACACTATCTCGAATTTCTCTTTACACATTTCTGACAGATGATTGATCCTACACTCTGCACATGATGCTGCTCCAATGAACGCCTTCACATCATAGCGTTTGATCTGGGAATGTAGGCTCGTGAACGTTCTCTTAGGGTCTTATTCGGGGCACAGTGAAGCTCCAGGAAATTGAAACGGCGAAATAGGGCTGAAGAAATTGGCGGATCCACTGAACTGTGAGAGACTGTTCCTAGGCTCCTTCACAATCCCATTCAAAGTGCACAATAATTGGAACTCTTGGCCTGAGCAGGGTCTCAGCTGTCAGGGCCAAGGATTAACTCTTATTACTGCCCGACCTACCCCCTGCTTATATCACCTAGATCTTAGATTTTGAGGAACTGGTATAGATGTCGAGGGAGCTTCCCTACGTGCGAAAGCACCCCCACACGAAGTGCTAAAAATATCCGCGCACGATAGCGCCTGTTATCCCACGCAAAGAATCAATTACTCACAACAAAACACTGGAAAGAAAAACTATAGTTGATGCCAGTGACAGGGGCGATGATGGGTAAAGTCATGCCCACCATCTGCTCACCCGAAAATTCCAGGGTAACTGGTAGAGAAGGTAGGGAAGACAGAGTGTGATAGGTAGAGAGGGTATGGATAGAATAACCTCAAAAGGCATTTTGATGGTGAAGGGTCATTGAACGTAACGCTTCAGCTGGGATTCCAGGATTCTTCATCTATGAAATTTTTCCTTTGCGCAGACTTAGAACTTCTCGCAAAGGAAAAGATAGTTATCGATCGGTGCAAATGGGTAAATCTGCGAAGACGTTTGACGAGTATTGCTTCCTTAACGTTCTGCTCACTTTAGACAGACCGTAATTCTCCGATTATTCGAGTACATCCTTCCCATCGTTGTGCATCCTTCCCGCCTTGCCTTGCTCCGGATCTCATATGCTCCCACTTTACCTAGTGTGCCAGGGATAGCTGCCAGGGATAGCTATTGATTTGAAGGAGGCGTATTCCCACAGAAGTGCCGAGTGAGACGACTAATTTATGGAGGTAGTGTGAATTCTTCGACGCTCATAAAGAACGAATGATTCTTCAATGTTATGATTCAATGTTATGTATGGAATGATTCAATGTTATTCCATACTCGTTCATACTCAGCGTTAGCTGAGTATGAGAAAAGAAATCTCAGCGATTCTCTCCCATATTTTTCTTCTATTGTAGTCGACCCAAAATAGGTTGCAGTAATTTGGAAATGTTCTTCAGAGAGGCAGCCGAGGAGCAGTACCAACAGCAAATCGGAGCCACAACACCGCCACCGATTCCTTTGCCGGCTGCTGATAAGCATTTTGATCCAGCAAAAAGCGCCACATTGAAGTTTATTAGGGTAAATCATATTTACTTATTCATGTGCTCGATGGACTAGTCAAGTAAACGAGTGCAACAAGCCAACTCAATTACTTATATAGGTGACTGGGCTTGGGTGACTGGCCTAAGAGCTGTTCCAAGAATTGAACTGAACTAACGAATTCGTTATGGCTTTAGTCCCACGTAGGCAGGAAACTAGAACATAGGAACTGGCTTTCAACAGTTCGATCCTTGTTCGTCATAGTGACAGTTTGGACCATAATTCGAGCCAAAAATTTTGAAATGACCATACTTACGTCGTACCGAGTGCAGTTTATTGCCGACATTGCTCTCCAATGTTCCGATACCAATTATCTCAAATTGTGATAGATTTGATACAGTTACTTTCTATATTTCAGGAAGGCGATGAAGGCCACTTTGGTGAACACTTTTTCGAGCAAATCGCTAACGTCGAAGCGCCAAGAATTATTGGCAAAGAGGTAAGTACCGCAATTGTACTCCATCTGCTTCTATACTAGGCTATACATTTGGAAAGTTGAAGCTCAACCAGCTGTTTTCCAAAAAATTGCTGCATTCGAATACTGGAACAAAAAAACTGCAAAGAAAGGGTTTCCAGATGGAGGAAATGATCACGCGGTTGGTCCTCGACTGCGTAACAACCCCTTATCTCCTAATGTTGCAGTAGAGTAAGTGCGAAACATCTTAAAAGCAACACCAGAAATAGTTTTTCACATACAAAATTATATCATGTTTAGAGATAATAATTTTAAAAGCATTGCAATAATAGCTACATGTGTATATATGCATACATACGAATGTAATACAAGCTCCGCCCCTCTCACAGAGCACGCCTCTTGGCGTGCGTTTTTATTTTCAATGTCGTTGGATCATGCCATAACGTTGCCCATAACCCTTTTACTTTCTCTGAAATGAGGAAATACTGACATCATTCATTACTACAGTGCTTCAAAATTCTAGGAGCCGGAATGGGCACGTTATGCCCGAGAAAAGAGCGAACGAGCGCGTTCGCGAACACCAGCCGACCCAAGTCAGCATAGACATACGGCATCAACGACTCCGATAGATCATCGGTACGAACGATCACGGGGAGGCGATTCACCTCGAGAATTCATGGAGAAATCAAAGTTTGTTTGTTGTTGTAACTTACCTTGTTAACAGAATTTGGGGTAAATGTCTAATAGCGCCTGATGTATGGTTTTCAGAGTTTATACACATACAACTCATCCGACTTACGGACCTGCCTACTATCAAACCCAGTCACATGCTCGTCGCAGAGGATATAGCGAACCGAGGGAGTATGTTCTGCTCTATGCTTATTTTACTGCTCTCTACCCTTTCTCACCTTTATTTTTTCAGAACCCACCCAGGCTATGAGTGCGGTGGCCTCGACTATACGAAAGGCCTGAACTTTCCGGCCGCACCTTTCGACTACAGTTACGAATATCGCAGTCGTGCCAGAGACCGCGATCAGTACCGTCCTCGTTCGGGCTATGAACTGGGTGGTCTCGCTTTCGGAAAAGGTCAGGTTGCTCCGGGCCCATATCACGGTCATGGTCCTGATCCACCTCGACTCCGACCACGTTACTCAGCTGACCCGCGATCACCATGCAATTCATACTACGCACCAAATTTGGAAGAAGTTGACGCCAATCTCCTAGTCGGTGACACAATTTCAAACCAGAAGATCCGCCACGAGACTCGTCACATCGATCAGAGCCAGTTTGGCACCAGCTTTGCTCCACCGACAGGCTTCAAACGCGATCATATCACCGTCAAGCGTAGTCCCGTACCACCGGAGCCGATTACGTTCAGTGTGTCGGCAAATAAAAATCGTTATGGCTCCACTGGGAACGTCGCTATGGAACGTGAACAAATGTGGCGACGCCAAGTGCAACAACAGCGGCAATACCCGACGTCACCAGTGGGCGACAAAGAGGTGACAGTGAAGACGCTTCTCAATGACGACGTGCTTAGAAAAGTGGATCGCGAAACCACACCCGTATGGCGTGACCGTAGTCTCAGCAAACACGAAGCATGGAAATATCGCTCCGATCCGCGTCTCGATCGACATCAGGTTTTGAACAGCACCAGCACCATCTGAGCAATCATTATTTGTTTCGCTTATCTGCACACTGGTTAACGGCATTCACCTCAGGAGATAGATTCGAAAGCATATCTTCAAAATGGCTGTTTTAGAGCTTAACGACGTTTCAGTTGCTTCTAGGGCATAATTAGCACTGGCTTAGTGCTCAGATTGCCTCACACACAGATTTAAGGGAAGCGGTGTATGATAAANTTTTTCGAAAAGGCTGTCTTAGAGCTTAACGACGTTTCAGTTGCTTTTTAGGGCATAATTAGCACTGGCTTAGTGCTCAGATTGCCTCACACTCGGATTTAGGGGAAGCGGTGTACGATAAAGTATCATAAAGCTCCCAGAACCTCTTCTTCAGTCCTTTTTAACAAACCTTCTATCAAATCTTTTGTCCGTCTTCGTATCGAGGGCTGCGAGACCCCTAGTCAGGTAGACCTTGAACCTTATATGCCTGCGAGACCCCTAGTCAGCCGGACCCCATTCCTAATATGCCAACCTCTCCGCATTAGACCAGTGGACCTGTGGGATTACGCCATGCATACACACCATTAATTAGCATGCTGTTGCTTTTTCTCCTTTTCACTAGACCATCCTTGGTTCTAATCCCTTATTTTGTTGACTCGAGCCGCAGCTAACTTTTTCGAGCGCCTTAGAGCTTCTCATACAAAGAATACGGACAACGACTCGAAGTAGCTAGTTAGCAGACGACTTGTTTCAAACTCTGGTGATTCCTACCTGAATACCCTCTGCATCCCTCCCACGACGCCGGTTAGGCGATGGAGCGCCGCAAAGCTTTCGCGCCGTCCCGCGCGGCGCATTGCCGCGACATAGGACCTAACCTCCGCCCGGTCGGATGCCGCCGTGCTGGCATTTGAAGGTCTTGGATATAGTTGGTCGGGTATACCACAGGCCCTAGGGCGGTTATGCCAGGATCACCAGAATTGAGCTACTTCCATTAAAAAAAGCTGAGGAAATATTATTACGCTAAGATTAGTCACAAAATCATTGCATGTAAGATTGGATTTTTTCAAAGTTTTAAGCTTCCTACAGCTTTCCTGCAGACTTTATAGTGGCATTATTGATTAAATGTACACGACACAGGTTGGGGACGTTTATAGAGGTGTTATCAAAGATGATTGTCCGAAAAGGAACTTCCCAGTGGTACGCGATCCACTTATAGGGCGAGAATAGATTCGAAATAGCTCATTTTTATTCAGTTGTATTACCCTTTTAAATCCACTATTCAGCCGTACTATTATTATCCTCAACTGGCACCGGTTGACGTGAGTTTCAACGTTTGAGTCTAGGGATTTTGAATGGCCTGCTTCTATCAGGAAAACACTTCTGGGAAAGAATTGCAACCAAAAATCTGTATAATACTGGCTGGGCAAAATTGCTTTTGCTTTCGCTTCTAGTGGCTTTCAGGGATATCACGAACATGCCGCTTTTCGCTCATAACCTCTTTATATACTGCACATAACAATAGGTGTAGATTCTAGAGTGAGCCGTGCCTGCAGAATAGCTATTTCTTCGGTTATCGATTGATTGAGTCGATAGATAGAACTGAACTCACGTAGCACTCTTGCATGTTGCTTAGATTGCCACTGGTAAGTTTTAAGGAATTTCCTTGAATATTCAGATCTTCACCAACGAACCTAATTGGTCACGTACCGTTCAACAACGTCGTAATGCATGGGAACGTATGGCATACGATACCGATGCACGTGTAAGCCTTCCTGCCTCTGCCAAGGTATGCATTCAGCCTTTTTTCGTAAAAAAACTGATTCCGCCTACTTTGGTGTATTCTTTGAGAATCTACTGGGTGGATTATGTAGCCGATGGAGGGGGTTTTCTGCTACTGCACAACAGACTCAAAAATAAACTTTTTCGAAGTGGCTTACGATAATGGGTTACTGTTTATTTGCTGGTGCGTGTCCTACCTTACTGTCATCGACAGGTGCAAAAGACTGAGAGACGGCAGTAGGAACGGTTTTGTGTAATCGATTCGCCGCACGCGGCTGTCGCGGACCATTCGTTCCCGTTATTACAGCTCAGGCACTCTACATACAGCTCAATCGATATGCGATCATTATTTTAGGCTAGCTTCTACTGTTAGTTCTTTTGTTCTTGTATTTCTTATCTGCTGCTGCATCCTGCTACATTCCTTCGCGCGCGGCGTCTTTCTCGCTGCGACGCGACAATTCGTTCCTACTGCACCACACTCCAAAAGACTGACTACGGTATGGATTGAAAACGACACAGGGACAACAAATTGGCCTTGTAAACATCCTCGTCGAGCAAACCTCTCTATGGTCAGCAAAAATGCTGCCTTTGAATGCTCAAATCCTCGAAACTTCATCGGTAGTCTAATTTCAGCAACAAGGCTGTTGCAGTAGCGTTACAGTATCACATAGCGAGATAGAAGAGGCGCTAGACGACTAGTCAAAACCCAATCATATACGGTGCAATGTGAAAGTTAGTGGGCGAGCCGACAGCCGAATGACTGGGCAGTGTAACTGGACTAATGCGGGATATCAAAGTCCAAGAGTCAGGCATTCAAAGCAGGAATTACAGCATGAAATTCTGTACCATGGGACCCATAAATTCCGGAACCTGGTTTTCCAGACTTTGAGCTCAGCTTCTTCCATGCATTTACACTAATCCCGGGGTCAAATGGTTGCTCATGAGATTAGCTGTAAAATACAGCTCAATCGCGAAGGCAATCATCCTATTCCTGCAGAAACAAGTGAAAAACTTTGAGTGGGATAGAAGAATGATGTTTTGACCAGCATAATTCATCAATCAGCGAACATTTTCACCATCCTATGGATCGGTATCATAGGTGTTACACTGATCGTGATGAATGGATGATTCATCCCTTCTATTTCTTTCTGTCCACGCTCAAATTTTTTTACTTGCACGCTGTGCACCTTGCTGATAAAAGCTCAGTCAACGAGCCGTTAGCGGGGATTTCGTCAACGATGAAATCGAACGCTATGCATGCATGTGCTGCACCGACTGCCGACTTCACCCACTCACCGTTAGGGACGCCTGTTTGATGGGAGTTCCTTGCTGAACATAAGAAATGACTGCTGTTTAACTTCACAATGCCCCCGTCAGACATACGGGCAACTTCAGCCAGCCATTCAGTTGCTCTTGCATCCCCAAGCATTGACCTAGCCTTAGCGGCCTAGGGTCACTGGCTTGACTCACTTACACTAGAATGTACCCGTTCATCCATGAAGGGTTCCCAGATGTGAGGGTTGTGGGAGCTCTTGTGTTATTCGTGGTACAAGACTCTTTTGTTTCTGATGGCACAGCCGTTTCTCTTTATGCTCGTTCTTTTTTCTGTTTCTTTTCCTGCCATGTAGTAATATGTTGTAAATTGTCTTCTTGAAGGGAACAGCTGAAGTCCACGTTTGCTACAGGTACCGGCGCCACAGCCCCCAGCTTGGCACAATCGAGCAGCTCGGACTCACAACATTTGGCAGCAAGCGGCTGATACAATGAGTCAAGGAGCCACGGATACTTACCAACAACCAGGGCAAACGTATGAATCGGTGAGTTCTCTCTTGCTGAACCTTATTCATAGTAATGATATTAGTAAGATGTACTAGTGAAGTGTACTGTAGTCAGTTTCCCCTATCCACACAGTTTATATGTTTATCTTTCCGGATCCGTTACTGATTATACATTTCCATAACTTCGTGAAGAAGTTGGCGAGCTAGCTGGTGCGTTTAGCCAGGGTTTCGGACAAGACAACTAGCTAGCGTGCACTGTGAGTAGATTGAGGATAGTGCAGCACACCCACAGAACAATGCATGAGGTGGCTGTGTCCCACGCCATCAGGGTGCCGTTGAGATCATCTAACAAATAAGAGCAAGGCGTTCGCTCTCTGAGAACGTTAGGATTAAGAGCGTACAATGCAGCTGCAGTGATTTCATCAAGCTCCAAATATCAAAGGGTTACCAAAAACGCAGCCCTTTCCCAACGTTGCACTTGTTGAGAGGTTCTAAGAACTCGAAAATTTCGAAATATCAATCATGCGCCAATCCATGTTCTTTGGTTTTGCCGAACCTAAAAATCTACTCGGAATATCCCTACGAATTCATGACTTCGAACTCTTCCAAGGTATCTATCCAACGATAAGATGCTTCATGCGTTCATTTGAGAACTCATTCACAGCTTAGCACCAACCGCTATTGTTTTTTTGAGCCTGACTATCGATGTGCATTCATTGTGTTACTTTTCTCACATTCTGAGAATGCCCTAAAAAGCAGCCTCAACAGTTGTTGTCGGATCAAGCACAAGTCTATTCTTCATTTTTATTACCCAACGGAAGAACAGTTTGGTGGTGTGGTGGCGAATGGCGCACCCGCAATTCCTGGTACGAATCCTCGATCGATCCCGCCAAGGCTAACCAAGCTTTCCATTCATTCTGTGTCAACTAGTTGGTACCAGATGTGTTCGGGAAGATGGAAGCACTGACTTGTTTATTGATCGGCCATTGATAGCATTCGGTCAAATACGCATCCAATACGGTACAAGATCCTGAATAGAAGTCGAATGCGGGGCGATTCCCAAAACAAGACTGTTTAACGCAGAAAGCTTTATCTTTTTATCTGATAGAAATAATCGGGATCATGAGCCTAGCCAGAATGCTCATGAACGCTTGGAATCGTCTTGAAGCACCGATGTGTCTTGATGTGTTGTCTATGGCTGAGCGCATGACAGCCACATCTGGATCACTCAGCTGATCCCTTCTGGAATTCTTTGGCACAGAAGGGTAAGAGAAGCGCCTTTCTCACAACATTCAAATACATCTCGTGATTTGACTCCACAGTAATTATTGGCAACAATGTGTTGTGTCTGCTGCACAAAGATCGTTCATTGCACGTCTGCACTGCAAGAAAACAAAAGCAGCAGCGATGCTCTCGTCCAAGGCAAAACCTCTTCCCCGCTGATAGGTTTAACGAATGCTCTCTTGGTCCAACTCTTGCCAGGATCAGAGGAAAACCTCTTCAAAGCAGCTGTCCTCTCATTTCATTGCACATGCCCCCGTGCGCCTTTACATGCTTCTACGATTCCTATTAAAACACTTGAAATTGAATGTGATCCAGATGGTTCGAGAAGAGCAGCTTTTTCACATGGGGCATTGCTGTAACTTTAGCTACTGCACATAGCTACACAAATTACCCTTCGTTAAATGGGTTTTTGGATAAATGTACCCATCAGGGCATCTCCAGTTTCCCTAACCATCTACATATGTCCCCCCAGTTCCTCGTTGTCTAGGAATTAAGGCCGGAATAGGAGGGGGCAATGTTATTTAGAGACAACCAGTAGCCTAAAACAACTCCCAGTCAACCAATACGTTCGAATCTCCCAGTATCGTGTCTCAGAGTTAAAAAGCGTTACCCACATGGGAGTTTGGATCTCTCGAGTTACGCTTCTCATCATTGACGCGGGAGGGGCAAAGGAAGTTACACAGCCAAGGCCCCGCTTCGTATCATTCGCTGGTTTGCTGTTCGCCCACAACCTGCGCTAAGTGCTGATTTTCGTTTCCAGGAATATTCCCATTCTAATATTAATATTACATTAATATTAAAACTATTTATGTGCAAAACGAAGGTTGTGAAGTGGCAATTGTCGCACCGTCACACACGCATAATCACGGGTTTGGTTTGAATACCGCATCGTTAACTCGGCCAACTAAGCTTTCCTTCCCTCCGGGGTCGGTTAATTGGAATGGACTCGTTTGGGAGGACTAAAATCCAGATTTGTACATAGGCTGGTCACCGCAATTTTTTGTATAGGCTACATACTCATTCAACACGCCACTAGGATTATGGATGGAAGTCGAATGCTGGGCGCTTCCCTTAACGAGATTGATCAATCTCCGAAGACTTTATCTTTTATCCTTTTTTCTTTATTTATGTATAACTACATGTTAGCCAAAAACAGATGTTCAACAGCCGACAGGTTTTCGACAAATAACCTAAAAAGCGAGATTGTTTATTTCCCTACGACTTGTAAACTCAGGCTGCTAAAAATTTCCGACATCAAAGTTGGTACGTGATGGATTGGGGAGGGGTTCGTGTCATTTCATGACTGAAAACATAAAAATCGTTCTTTCTGGATGAAATATGGTACACCAGTGAATAATTAGAAGATTTCAGAGTCATACGTCCGTCCAGCATAGTGACGGCTCGCATCAGTACCAGTCGCAGCACTACCATGAAGAGCGTCATTCGCAGTACAGCTCTGATCAGCACCAGGAACAGCAACGTCGAGAAGAGCAATATCGACATGAAGAACAGCAACGTCGAGAGGAACAGCATAGACGTGAAGAACAACGTCGTCATGAAGAACAGCAATATACTACCAGCAGTGCTCCTGTCATTCAGAGCTACAGTACTACACATCACTCTGAAAGTCATACAGAGAGCGCTCCGGCTCCTCAGGTCAGTGATTCACTTCTATCATTTTATGTCACGGCATAAGATGAAGCTGGGGTATTGCAAAAACCAGGGATGCTGGTACATTTGGATCGCGAGATCGATTCCCTCGCGCGAAATTCGGTTTTTTGCCACTCTGTCTGACTGATCCAGCTGAATCAGAGTTTAGGTGTTTAAGAAAAGCCACAAACTTACCAGGTTCATCATACACCACGATTCCTGCAGTCAAAGAGTGTAACCCGAACTTATCTGGAGCCTTTTGGTTATTCTTATAACGCTGGTGGATAGCGTCACAAGAGATGGTTGTTTCAGTCCTACATCGTGTCATCTGGTGCTACTAATGCCGATCTACAAGTGAATAGCGGCTATAATGCAAACCAGATTGACTACGTAAAAGATCATATCGACAAGTACCAAGGTGGTCCCATCTACGGAGGATCGTCGCAGTACGAAGAAATAAGCAAGTCGAGCTACAATAAAACATACTCTTCATCGACTCAGCAGCAGAACGTCGCACAGGTGACACTGTTTTTCTCTTTGGCTGATTGCTCAGAAGGCATACGCACTGCTCATGAGGTTTTACGATATGCCCCATGCTGCAAATCATCTGTACCATCTGTGGTTCTGGTTCTATTGATCACCGACATCTTCAGGCAGGGGCCTGCTTTTCCATTCGTTCCGTTGCAAGCCAGTGGAGTTCATGGACTCTGCTGTTTAGAGGAACACAAAACGTTCATTTGCATACCCATACTGGGTGGCAGCCAAGGTCATGGAATGCTATGTACTTAGGTGGACAGCCCCTCTTGTCCGAACTCAAGCCAGTACATATATCGAAGAGTGTCAGTGATGAGAAGCTTAACCCGAGAGATCCAAAGTTCCCTGTGGGTCGAGCTTTTTAACTCTGAGACACAGTCCTTTTGCATCATTTCTCTGAAAGACTGGATGTAGAAGGGTTCGAAGTAGGTACGCATGTAGAGAAGCTCCTTTCTGCTCCGGTAGGGGAACATTTTGAAGAGTTCTTCATCTCAATTGTGGTGTAGCAGAAAAAGCTATCTTTCTTGGGCTATGACAAACTTAATGAGCCTTCCAAGGGCATTCACATCATGTTCAAACAGCTACCATACCATACAATCGTAATGTAAACACCGTGATCGAACCATGAGCAAAATGAATAGAGGAACACGTGCAGCTGTGAAGCGAACTATAACTGTTTACGATCATGCACAACTTCGTGAGCGTCTACCTAAAAATTGTTGAGCATGAAGAGAGTCGATTTCAGCAAGGCGAAGCGATTCCACTGCCAGCACCGACCCAAAGCTATACCTATAGTTCGGAGACTCGGGTAAGTGGGCCAAATGTGGCTACACCTCCACCACCACCGCCACATACCGCGAATGGCAAGCAAAGATACCTAAATCAACTTGAGCAGATGAAGGTTTTCACATAATAACCCCATAGCCATTAGGGCGCTTCGTATTGCCCTTGTTTAGTTTCTAACATTAGACTTGACAATCTGTGCTTGAGTGCTTACTGCTATCGATATTTAACTTGATGGCGACCTCCGGCCGCAGTCATACTTATTCGTTGGGCTTTGAATTAGAATAATTAGCCATTCACATAGCTTTCTTCAGTTTCCTTTCCCGGAACTAGCATGTTATCCAGGATTTCGTTTTCGAAACCATGAAATGATCAGTGCTTTGAATAAATGCTCCTGTTCAGACCTCTAGCCAGGCGATTCCGGCAGCGGCACCAGCGCCGTCATCCAACTATCAGCAGCAAAGCAACTACAGTCATCACTCGTCGCATACTACTGAGACATCGAAGGCGATACCTATTCAGCCGGAAAAGTCCAACTACGAGGTATTCACTTCTTTGACCACAATTTCATAAGTCAGCACATAGCACAATCAGCATCGATAATTCATCAGCACAATTTGCACAAATCATTAATCCAGCACTTAAAATGAATGGATTTCAAGTTCCCTTAAACTTCCAGTATAAACCTAAGTTAGTCGGCAGAGCATGAAATAGTACTGATAAAAATCGTATAGAACAAACTACAATGAATAAAAAATTATGAGTCTTTGAGGGCAAACTCCGTTTTCGGAACCGTGACGGGAGGTTTTCCGTGAAAGATTGAGGTAGTGACTCTGACCGTATAAGTTTCTATTTGAAGGCCCACAGGAAACTGAAATCCTTCCGTGACCACAGCACTTTTAATTAGTTCTAGATTCTGAAATTTTGAGCTGTTTTAGCTTTCGGCACCTAAAAATACGCACATTGATTCGAGCACTACATAAATGTAGGACTAGGGCTATACGAAGTCATTCTTTTCTCTTCATGAGCTTATCTTCTTTTTCACATGATCATTCCAAGTGTTTATTGTTCACTGCTCAAAAAGTCTTTTCACTCCATAATATGAATGAACTACAAACTGCTGATATGACAATAATCGGCTACAGTCACTATATATGTGGTTCAGGAACATAGAAGATCATTCCATTCGGAAGAGAAACGTACAACAACGTCAACTCCAACACAGCGCGTATCGTTTGAGGTGACCAGTAACGAGTCCGAATAGACAATTGTGATTTTTTGACGGAAATGAGCCGACCATCACAAGGGAGCATAGTGGAGCATGCTTAGACCATTTGCTGTTGCAGACATCTTTTGGAAGGTTTGCGGTCAAGACAGTTGAGAATCATCAGCTGCTTTCCTCCTAGCAGGCACACCGTGGATTCTAGTTCCAGACACTTATGTTCTCTATCAAAAACTGGTATCTCCATCAGCATTGTTGAGATCGAAGGGGTGGACTGGCGTTTGAGAATACCCAGCAAATTGTGATAATCACAGCGACACCTGCAACGTCATAATCTCAACGAGTAACCGCATCGTAACATGGGTATTCGTGGCATCTCACAAATCACAATCCATATCTCGACGATTCTGGAAGAGGGTGTATCTGCGGACTTGCTAGCTTAGTGATCGTGTTTGCGCCATAATGAAATTGTGTCATCGGGACCTGTGCGGACTCTTAGTGTGAGCCAACCAGCTTTCAGCTATATCCGAGTAATTCTCGACATTTGTTCCATTATGTTACCTCGTGATGTTCAGCCGTTTCAAAAAGGGTAGTTGACACGAGGCGCCCCCCATAAGGAGAGCTTCTGGCCGGCAAGAAGGGATGGGGTAAATAACGTCGTGACGTTGGTAACGGAGGACGAGCTCTATCGCACTGTGACGCGACATAGATCTCCGAGCTTAGTCCCCTGATTTCTTTCGGAAAAGGTTGTTGTCCTACCGAAATGGAATTCAAAGTGCTATAGTCGTACTCGAAGCAGGCAAGGACCATGGCCTAAATTGGTCGGGTCACAGTGCTGATCATCTCCAGTCTTATTTGCTGTCCAGTGCAGCATAACTCGGCGTAGCCGACATTGAGTTACTCAGTTCTTTTTGAGAGACAAAATCCCAGATCTCAATAATGAGTCCGAATGCGCTTCATTGGGCAGTAGGTAAGTACTGAGATCCTTGGTGCACTCCTTTATCATGTCATTTGGCGGAATTGGTTCTATTCTTCAGTATTGGTTTCCTACTTCGGTGGGCCCCTTTCGTCCTTGGCGCCACGTCACTCAATGAGCAACTAAATTCTACGATGCAACCTTTTTCTTAACGCTTACTCTCGTAATGTTCAGGAAAAGCATCACGAAGTGATTCCACTGAATGACAAACACTCTGCTTCTATGCCTTCTCTGCAAAAAAACGAAGAGGTCACTACTACTATTAGAAGAACCAGTTCTGGATTCGATTTAGACCTATATTCCCATCATCGCTGAACAGCGGGTTCACATAGTCATAGTTCGCTTGAAGTCATTTGATATTCCTCCATGTAGACAGTAGATTTTTGATTTTCTTTGCTTCAACAGCATGAGTCACTATTTAGGCCGAGAGATTCCAAAAAATGTTCACGTCAGAACAAGCCCGTACCATTCCAATACAACAAACGAATCAAATGTCGGAGGTCATTTTTCCTTTTCATGGAAAGAACTCCTTCGATCGTTGCTAGAGCAGCTGTCAACTGTTGCTTTCTCATGCTTGCCTTCCTTTTCTTACCTAGTCTCCTGTTATAATATTCCCTTTCATCACTCATACTAACAGCACCTACTGATGGTCAGATAATATCGATGATTGAGGAAAGGATAATCTCATTATGTTCAACCTGACCAGCAGCTTACTACCATGAACGGAAAACACGGAAACGAGTTCGTATCTACCTTAATACATTCGCAGTAGCATTCTGGTC